GTGTGCGTATGCATGTGTGTGTGTTTGTGGCGGAATGATTGTATCTGTGTGTATATGCGTTTTATAGTGCATATCTATCAGGACATGTGCACTCGGGCCTGTCTGTTCATGGTGCCTTCAATGTGTGTGTGTGTGTGTCAAGATAAGGCCGTGAGTAAATGCAGCCCGGGGCTCACATTTCTCACCTGTGGATCAATTCAGTGAACACACAGACAGACAGGCAGACACACACACACACACACCACAGCACACACACACACACACACACATTCACCCTATGGTGACTTTATTCTTCACTTAACCCAAATTCAGTCACAGGGGATATCAACGTTTGGCCTTAAAATAAAGACACACATACTCATTCACACATGCTTGAATCAACACACAGCACTCTCACACACAGGCACATTCACGCAAACATTAAGGCCAACTTCACGTGTGCATGCATGCATAATCAGAAAGTGGTATAGATAATATATAACCGTTCCCTGAGCGAGGAGACCCCATGGTGCTGCCTTCAATAAACCTTGTTTTATTCAGTGTTAAGTAAAGCATGGAATTTTCCAAACCTCAAAGAGAAAAGCAATTTTAGGTGTGAGATGTGAGAAAACACAGCAGGGGAAATTGTAAGAGTGCTGCACAAAATAAAAATGTGGGTTACAGCCAGCCTGCATTATTTCAGACACGCTCCTGTTTCATACTGCTGTCATTGCAGACGACCCCTCTAGGTAGTGATGCACAGAGCAGCAAATTCAGGCAAAACTAATGGGCAATAATTGGGTTTTTTGCACCTGGCAGTTGATTAGGATAAGACTTGAAAGTAGGGTAAAATAACAAATAACAGTAAGCATTTTGTAAGCCGGGCGGGAAATTAGTCATTTGTCAAGGTTCATTCAGAGCTATGCTGCTGTAACGCAGTGATTTAAAAAACTTTCTGTCTCACTGCCCCTAAATAAAGAGATGTTCCCAAATCATAATCTTGAATTGTGAACTCCAATAAAGTAATGCATATTGTGTATCTTTTTAGACTGATAAGCAGCATAAAAACACAGCTTATTTATGAGAATATTGATCATGCTATTGGGTTAGACACTGCACATTTTGTTGTTGAATAATGCAGAATTAAAAGGCTGGATCAACAGTAATTTTGTCACATTTGTAAAACCCTGTTTATATGGGTATCATGCATGTCTCTCATATGCAACAGCCTGATGACCACTCCCATTAGTAGACAGAAATGGCTGTGTTCACACCTTCTTTTTAAACCTGATTTACGGCTAATTGCCAGTCTCCGCCATGGGACATAAATCTAGTGACTCCCTAAAGGCTCATTCTCTCCTTTGTGGTACATTTGCATTTCCACTAACAGTCCTGCTATATCACTGTTACCTTATGCTATATATTTTGAGCCATAATGGCTTGTCTTGATTGATAATACATGTGCAAAAATGTGTTTTCTAATTTCAAGTCCATATAGGCTACAAGGGTGTACTGTAGCTTGAAGTAACATTTCCCTCTTTTGCACTGCTCTTCTCTGTGATATTCTGCCCTACTGCACTCAACTGCATGGCGAGCCCTTCAGTTTGTGTGCCTCATCTATACATCTAGCTTCTACTGTGCTGTACAATACCCTGTAGTCAGAAATCGTAGGCTGACTTTGCTATGGTACTGTGGGCTTCATCAGACAGAGAGAGAAAGAATGAGAGAGAGAGAGAGAGAAAGAGAGAAACAGACTATTGAAGCAGAGCAAGAAAGAGGCTGAGGAACGCGAGGGAGCAATAGATAAAGAATAAAGAGGGAGAGAGGGCCAGAGGTAGAACCATGTATTGTGCTGAAATTGGCAGTAATGGCAGGACATACATCAGCTTGACACATTCGCATTCACTGTTCCAACTCTCACATGCACACACACACACACACACAAATAACTAAATCAGAATTACAAATTCAAGTTGTGTAACGTCCAGTAATATGAGGCTATTTTGCAGGACCAGGAGAATCCAAACACGCTGTGGTGTTCCCATATTAGAATATGATAACTTCCCTAATCACCAGATATAATTATTGTACTATCACTGAACCTTTATGGGTAGCTCTGGAGATGTTCACATCTTTCTTATATCAAGAAAGTGAAAGAAGGAGGTCCAGTTTTATACATCCATCCCCATGTCTATATGTCTGATCTGTCTATCTATCTAGCCTGTACACACACACACACACACACACACGCATTAAGTCAGTAGGGTGTACTGATCCTCCAGATGGGTGGGATGGCCTTCTCTCCACTGATCACTGCCCACGGCTCTTCTCCCTCTCTCTACCTCTCTCTCTCTCTGCATCAGCTATCTGTGATTAGAAGCAAGCCTCAGGGGGAAGACACACTCACACTCACACTCACACACACACACACACTTAGATACAGTATGAAAGCATTTTGGACACACACACAGGGGTCATACACTGAATGCACAGTTAGACTGCAGACACTGTAGCGACACATAAACACAGAATAAGTACAGAAACGCACACCATTACTTGTGCCCTTTCTGTTTCTCAGCACCGTCTATTAGGCACACGAATGATGG